ATCCTAGTCTCATTGATATTATTAAACCCACTTGGGCTGACATGAATAACAACCTTCTTGAGTCTACTGCTGAATTCACTCTTAGAGTTAAAGAATGGAATAAAGAGGTCTTTGGTAATATTTTTAAGAGGAAGAGACATCTCCTTGCTAGGATAGAGGGAACCCAAAGGGCTTTAGCCGCTAACTTTACCCGTAATCTCCACATCCTTGAAAAGGACCTTATCAAACAATATAATGTTGTTTTGCCTCAGGAGGAGATTTTATGGTTCCAAAAATCTAGGGCTAATCAGATTACTCTTGGTGATGGAAACACTAAATACTTCCATGTTTCCACTATTACTAAGAGAAGGAAAATCAAAATTAATGCCCTCAAAGATAATGCTAGTTCTTGGATCATTGACACTGGCAATATTAAGGCTGCTATCCTTGATTACTTTCAAAATCTCTTCAATAGTGAAGATACCATTCACCTTGACCATTGGACTCATCTGAATCCAACCCATTTTACTTAGGAAGATAACCATGAGTTCCTCAAACCCATCTCCAATGCTGAAATGCTTAGAGCTATCAAAGACATTGGGGCTTTTAAAGCTCCTGGTAAGGATGGTATTCAGGCCATTTTCTATCAGAACTATTGGCATTCTATAGGTCACTCCGTGGGTGATTTTGTCAAAAACTGTTTTCAAAACAAATATGTGCCTCCTGAGATTAATGAAACTCTTATTGTCTTGATCCCTAAAGTGGAACACCCCAAAACCATTAAACAGTTTCGTCCCATAAGTTTGTGTAATGTCACTTATAAGATTAGCACTAAAATCATTGTGGAAAGACTTAGACCTCTGTTATATAGCGTTATTTCCCCAAACCAGAGCAGTTTTATCCCTGGGCGAACCACTACTGATAACATTATCATTACCCAAGAAATTCTGCATACCTTAAGATATAAAAAAGGTAGATGGGATGGAATGATATTTAAGATTGACTTAGAAAAAGCCTATGACAGACTTTCCTGGGACTTCATTAAAGAAACACTTATGGAATTCAAATTGAATGATGATTGGATTGATTTGATTATGAGTTGTGTCACTAATAAACTTTCTTCTATCCTGTGGAATGGTGAAGTAATTAATGGTATTCATAACAAGAGAGGCCTTAGACAAGGGAACCCTCTCTCTCCTTATCTTTTTGTGCTTTGTATGGAAAGATTATCCAACATGATCAATAGGAAAGTTCGGGAGGGTTGTTGGAAAGGTATTAAAGCATCTAGAAATAGCCCATCATTATCTCATTTGTTCTTTGCAGATGACTTGATCCTTTTTGCTCAAGCCAATCATACCAATTGTGCAACAGTTATGGCAGTCCTTTCTGAGTTTTGTGAAGTGTCTAGCCAAAAAGTCAATCTCCTGAAATCAAAACTCTTTGTTTCACCCTATCTCTCCATTAGATTTGCCAAATCTCTTAGCTTCCAAAGTGGCATTCCCCTTACCCATAATCTTGGGAAATACCTAGGCTCACCCTTACTCCATCATAGAGTTACTAAGAACCTATTCACTGATATTCTTGAGAAACTGAAATCTAAACTCTCAGGTTGGAAAGCTAAAACACTCAGTTTGGCTGGAAGAGCCACTCTCATCCAATCTGTCACTTCTGCCATTGCCTCCTATAATATGCAAACCATGGAACTTCCTAGATAACTTTGTGATGAAATTGATAAAATCAATAGAAACTTTTTGTGGAGTGACACTGATACTCAAAAAAATGTGCATTTGGTTAACTGGGACAATGGCTGCAAAAGCAAAATTGAGGGAGGCCTTGGAATTAGGAAGGCTAGGGATCAAAACACTGTCGTCCTCACCAAACTAGGCTGGAAAATAATCAGTGATAAGGACAAACTTTGGTATAGAGTGTTGCACTCTAAATATCTGAATGATCATACCTTGTACACTTGGCCCGTGAAGAAAAAATCTTCTCACTGCTGGATAAGTATTTGTAAAAACAGGGACATCCTTAGGAAGGGTATTAAATGGACTGTTGGAAATGGGAATGACATCTCTCTTTGGCATGACTGGTGGTGTGGCACACAACCACTAGCCCAACAAAACAACTGCTACCAATCCAATGCTCTTGACAAGGTCAACTCCATTCTTGATGATGAGGGCAAGTGGGACATTGATTTGCTTTCCAATATTGATAACCAGCAAGATCTCAATGAGATTCTAAAAGTTAATAGGCCCAGATATGTTACATTCATTGATACTCCTACCTGGGTTCCCTCTTCTTCTGGTAACTTCACTACGGCTTCTGCTTTTACTTTCATTACTAACTCTGAGCTGAGTGACAGGGACTGGAAGTGGACCTGGAAACTCAAGATCCCTCAAAAGCTGAAATACTTTCTTTGGTTGGTGTTAAAGGGTCGTTTGCTGACCAATCAATTGCGGGTTGTTAGACACTTAGCTGATACTAATACATGCCCCAGATGTGGCCAATACAGTGAAGATATGGCACATTTACTTAGAGACCGTACTACTTCCAGAGTGATCTGGTTTACCATCCAAAGCCAGTCTTGGTAGGAAGAAGGGAATGAACAGCCTTTTAAAGATTGGGTTACTCTTAATATGAAAAATAAATCTCTTCGTTATGGTAAAAATTGGTCCCTTATGTTCATTGTCACTCTTTGGCAAATCTAGAAAGACCGTAACAAATTGGTTTTTGATAATTTTTTAAACCCAACTCACATCAGTCTCCAGAACATCTTCCATTACGTTCAAGAGATTGATGAAGCTTTTCATTCCCCTCTCTATCCCTAACCTGCACTACTGAGATTAATTCCTTGGCATTGTCCATCTGTAGGTAAACTAAAAATGAACACCGATGGCTGTTCAAAGGGAGACCCAGGACAAGTAGGCTACGGGGGTTTGCTAAGAGATGAGACAGGAACCTGGTTATGGGGTTACTTTGGAAAGCTAGGCCATTGCGCCAGCTTGGAGGCTGAGATATGGGGCATTTACACAGGACTCACCATCCTCTTCCAAAACGGCACTAAAGATGTAGTCATTGAATCAGACTCTGAGCAGGCCATCAATCAGCTTCTTCATGGACCAAACCAAAATTCACCATACAAGGCCCTCATTGAAGATGCCAAGTTTTTACTCAGAAGGTGTAGTTGTTCTCCGGTACACACTTTGAGAGAGGTAAACAGAGTTGCTGATCAACTGGCTAACATGGGAGTGGCTTAAACAGAACATGTGTTTCTTGAAGATCCTCCAGATGAAGTTAGAGCTTCACTTATAGATGATATAACTCGTGTTTGATTTGAGAGGTACTAACCCTCTTTTGTAGTTTGACTTTTGAACTCTTGTCTTTAATTTCTTAGGAATCGAAAAAATTGCACGAAGCGAGTGCAAGGATAGGGGAGCGAGTGCCTACAAAAAAGTTAAAGGTTGAGAGCAAGGGCGAGAGTAGCGACAGGGGCGGAGGCAGGAGGAGCAGGGCCAGAGCGAGGTACAAACCCCAATAGGAGTTTCCTACTACTAAGAGAAGGTCATTGTGTAAAACGTATGGGAATACTTTTGCCCAAACAATATAACAAAAATGTTTAAGTCACTATCAACCAAAAAACAACCTACTTTTGCAACTAGCTACTTGTACACGCATATATTTGTGTATAATTACAACAATAATAATACTGTTAAATTTTTTTCTCTTAACAGAACTAATGAGAATAACATTTACTTTAAACATACACGTTTCAATACCTATCCAATTTGTATCCTTCAAACATCCTATATAGGAACCACACCTCACCTTAATAGAGTAAAATAGATTGTTAGTTGAGTGATACAAGCCTTGAGAGTTAAGACACTTCAGCTGATAGATTAAGGATTCCAATTGTGAAAACAAAGGATAAGGTAAAGAATTATTCTGTAGGCTATAGCATTGAATAGTAATAAACCTTTGGCTTTGACGATTCTATACAATATTTTTGAAAGAAAACTTTCATCTTATTTTACAAATTATTCTTTACCAAATTCATATTTATTCACAAATCCTGCACATGGCATGGGCCATTGACTAGTATGTATATATCTATATATACATAACTTCCCAAATTCTGCAAAGTCCATGAAACTGGACGTAGGCAGAAGCTGAAGAAACAGTCAGAAAGCAGAATTTTGCAAATGCCAGTAGCAACACTCACGGGAAAGCAAGCTACAGAGTTGACTAAAACTGCTGTACAGGAAAGGCCATTGTAACAATCTTTGGTGTCTAAAAGCAAGTAATGGCTCTTTCCTTGGTGTCAACACATAACGCCATTATATATAACTTTCATCCAACCAAACAATTTCCCAAAAAGTTGTATTCTGCATAACTTTCATGATAATACCCATTTCCAACATACACAACTTTTTTCCTTTTTCCCAAACAAAACAATTCTTTTTTCCCAAAATCAGCACTTAACTGTTCAATTCAACAAACAGGCCTATGTTACATAGAATGTGGATCATTCTAGTACTAGGACTGGGAACGGGAACATGGTACGCCACATGCTCTAAAATGTAATACGATAGGGATAGACATCTTAATTTGACATCTAATATATTATAATGTATTTTTCTTTAAATTATTTGTTCGACAACACAATTCTAAGTATGATGAAAATTTGTTTTTACATTTTATCAATCCGAAACTCCACTTCATCTAGATTTAAGCTTATTATATTTGACTTTTTCCTTACTAAGGAAAACCTTAAACGAAAAATAGAGAAAAAAATTATGGGATTGTTTTGCATTATCAAATTCACCAGTTTGGAACAAAAGTTAACATGTTTTGGAACGTGCGTTCCAAAATGTAAATCGTTAGGGTTTTTGTGTTTTCTGGTGACACTGAACCAGGCGAACTCGTAATATCATTATAGGGCAGAAACTGCTGACGGCAAACAAGTAGATATTAAAATTTGCAAGTGATACAAGCAAAACCAAGATCAAAATTAAAACACAGACCTGTGGAATTATATTTTTCTCCATCACATCTTTGAAAAGAGGCGGTGGCGGCAAATCTAGTCCAAGCATTAAGAATGGCATTCTGCTAGTTTCTGCAACAACATTATTCTGCTCAGTTCCACCATCTGCAGCACTGCTATTATTCTGTTCATCGCCATTTTCTCTCTTCTCAGCGAAAGATCTGCTATGAATCTCTTTTACAACCTCCAATTCGCCCTATTGAGCACAATGCATCTCTCAAGCACATCTTAACTTGAAACAATTCGCAATACAAACTATTGTATGAAAAAATAAAATAAAATGAAATGATAAGATGGATCAATAACCTGAAAGCACTGGTGAATGATGCTGCTACTTCGCTTTGAACTTCGTAGATCTGCATGAAGTGTATTAAGAAGCCACGACATAAATTCAACTGGGTCAGACTGCACACCTATTCGAAAACGCTTTTTACTGGCTTTCATTACTGCCTGAAGAAACTCATGTGGGCTCACCTGCAGAGATAGAATTTAAAAATACAATTTCATGTTCAAAGGCCATAAGAAAAAGGTGATTGTCACCAAGATCAAACCTGTCCCTTGAAGTTCCGTGCATGCCAAATCTTTCTTGTGAGTTCTCCAAATCGATGAACAAGTGGAGATTTGCTGTGTCGATAGTTTTCAGGGATAAGGAAGAAGTTCCTCAAGGGAGTAACTCGCATTAAAGATTGAATTGTGACGTTCACAAAATCAGTCTCCTTAATGTTATTCAAACCCACCTAAAAAATAGCCAAGACCGAGGAAACATAGTTACAAGCAGAAGGGCGACAAGGCGCACAATTTGATGTTAAATTATTTATCAGAAGGATAACAAATGACAAGAAGACAAAAATATGAAATGTGCTATTAAGGAGAACTGAGCTAGATACCATTCCAGGAAGATAGTCAGAACCATCAAGTGCCCTAGACCATTGTTTGTTTCTATCAAGCTCTTCAACCTGTTCCCTATTAAACCTGTTAAAATAATTGCAGAATTATGAGAATAGTCAATATAACGACGCTGCTAAGAGTAGCTACTTAATTTAGCATTGGCAGCATCAAATAACTTGTCAAAACATATGCATGCACCCACATATGTTGAAGGAAAGACTCAACAATCATATCATGCATAAGCATGTACCAACATGAATGCCCATACACACGCTGTGACTACAATCAACTGCTGCCAAAAAATAAGGAAGAAGAAGAAAGCATGCAAGTTCGAACAAAGTGTTGCCAAACCTTGGGTTCAAAACATGTCGAATGCCATCTAAAGATGGGTCATTAATTTCATATCCATCAGGAAGGCAATAAACTTTCTCTGTTCGCAGATTGATGTAAACATGGTGCCCTGCTTCAAGGCTATGAGTATATGCATGAGATTTCTGCCCTCTTCCTTGATAATACTTCCCACAGACCAAACATGCATAAACATTCAAGTTCGAAAGAGAGACAGAGCAAAATTTCTCGAAATCAAAATCTAAAACCTGCAAAAAATAGACAATCAATTAACTTGTGTGCAAATTTATGACCTTACAACCATAGTATCAACAAAATTAATCATCCACAATTGTATATTTATTTGAAAATAGATTCATGCCCAGATATTCACCAAGTCAATGAACACCCACATAGCATCTTATGTACTCAAACAACACTTTCTCTCAACCAAGTGGCAATGGGCAAACAATTTTTTTGGAAAATTACAAGCAAAAAAAAAAAAGAATAAAAGAAAATGTTTGACTCTTGTAACAAATTAAACCCTAGGTTTTTAATTTTCTAAATTTAAACCTTGAATTTTTTTTGTTGGGCACAATCCAAATCGTATGTCCAGTTCCATTTACTAAACTAACAAGGAAAGAATATTTTAGTCTATTTACCCACTTCTCTCTCTTCGTCCTCTCTCCCCATCTCACAAAATCTAGTTTATCAAACCAAAAACAACACAGCCTCCAAAAATTTTCAGAAGTTACAAAACACCCAAATCATGAATCTAGTTTGAATTGTCGAGGTGGTGGCGATGGTCAAAGAAAGGAAGGGGGTGGCGTTGACTGGAGAACACTAGAAAGGGGAAGCTTCTTGCGGAGAAAAGAGAGAAAGGGTCAGTGTTGGCAAGGGAAGAGGAGGGAGGGGGTGGGGTGGCAGGAAGAGGGGGGGACTGGGGTTGGAGAAGTGGTCCTGGAAGGGGACTAGCGTGGTGGGATGCGAGGGCTATCAGTGGCGGCTTTGGGGGCTAGGAGTCAACAGGGGAAGGAGGAAGGGGTTGGCGAGGTGGTGGTAGAAGGGAACTAGGGTTTGGAGGATGGTAGAGCAAAGGTGCTAGGGTGGCAAGGAAAGTGGGAAAGTGAAATAGAGTGGTTGGGAAGGGGCTAGAGTAATGGGGTTTGGTGGTGGAAATTTTTAGCAATGAAAGTGGAGGTGGAGGCGGTGTCGCAGTGGCAGTGGCAGTGGCAGTGAAGGTTGAACTAGTAGTCCAAAGAAAAAAAAAAAAAAAAAAAAAAGGGGCGG